CAACTGAACACTTCCATCTCCCGATTGATGATCTCGTGACTGTCTACGTTACCTACATCCATCCAGTCACGGAATACGCTGCTCCTGTGTGGCACTCCGGACTTTCTACTCTCCTCTGCAACAAACTCGAGAAAGTGCAACGCCGGGCGCTGAGAATCATCCTGGGGAAAGACTTCATCTCTTACTCAAAAGCGTGCGAACAACTTGCCCCCCCCAACCCTCAAAGGACGCCGCGAATAACTGACCTTTAAATTCGCCAGGTCTCTTGAACAATCTGAACTGTATAGACATCTCCTACCTCCTTCACGAGAGGAAATAAGTGGCAGGAAAACTAGATCATCTCACAAACTGAACAGTATTTACTGTAGAACTTTAAGATATCACGACAGTGCAATACCACACATGGTACGGTTGCTGAACCTGTAAAATAATTAGTCCCTTTCATTTTAATCTGCTTAAGAATGTTTTTATGCTCCGTCAATTTTATTCTGTTCGTAAATGTTTTTAAATATGGTTGAGATAATGGTTGAGATATAATGTTTTAATGAAACTCATGGAAACAGCTCCCATGCAATTCAGCCTCTGGCTGCCAGGAGGGACTGTCCATATGTATTGTATATATGTTAATAATTGAATAATAATTTAATAATTATTATTATAGATGAAATTTCATGAGAAACATCCTTACCCGGATGAGTAACCCCAAGATGGCAGCGAGAGTCAGCACCTTGACCGGCTGGATCAGGATCAGGTCTGTCACGAAGGACGTGATGAAGGCAGTAAACCACGCCTCCGCCTTCTCACGCCCGAAGGTCAGCGTGTACAGGACCGTGAAGAACGCGGCGACAAAGCTGACAGTGAACACCAGCAGTCCCGCTGAAACAATGAAGGAATTAATGAATCGGTGGATAGAGGGATGGATGGATGGTGTGTGTATGTACTATCATGAATGAATAAATAGGTTTAGGAATGGATGGATGGATGGATGGATGGATGGATGGATGGATGGATGGATGGATGGGTGTATGTATGTATGTATGAATGAATGAATGAATGAATGAATGAATGAATGAATTGGTTTAGGAGAGGGATGGATGGATGGATGGATGGGTAGGTGCGTGGGTGTATGCGTACATGTGTGTAAGAATGGATGGATGGATGGATGGATGGATGGATGGATGGATGGATGGATGGGTGGATGGGTGTATGTATATATGTATGGATGGATGAACAAATGGGTTTAGGAATGGATGCATAAATTATATGGATGGATGGATAGATGGATGGATGGATAGATGGATGGATGGATGGATGGATGGATGAGTGGGTGGGTGGGTTTGTGAATGGATGGATGGATGAATGAATGAGCATGTATGTGTGTGTGTGTGTGTGTGTGTGTGTGTGTGTTAATGTATGGATGAATGGATGGGTGGGTGAATGGATGCCTTGAATGGATGGATGGATGGAAGGATGCATGAATGACTGGTGGTGTCTAGAGCTCTATAAATCTGAAAGCAATGATTTCTTACTCACCCACAGTTGCTGCCCACCAGGGCAGACGGCATCCTGTTCCTTTTTGACTGTCTTGGGCTTTGACATCTGCAAGGACAAGTTTAAGGAAAAGTTGAAAACAAAGTTAAAGCTCTTCATATTGAGGGTTTGAGAATATTTTGTCACTGTCAGCATGTGAACATTACACGACTTATTTTTATTTTATTCACATGGATTTTTGAGCAATTTGGATAGGAAGCACTTGTTGTGCTTATTTATTATTATGTGAATCCGCTGCTCATAAAACATAATACAAAAGTAAACATAAAGATGACATAAAGTATAACATAAACAAACTAGAGTTCCCCGATCTCATACCTTCGCCAAAGGATGTTAAACTTTATGACTGACAAATTATAGATTATTCCCCCCTGATTTAAGAAATAGCAACCTAATTTTTGTGAATTATATCATTTTATCATAATCTCAACCAAAAGACAGTCTTATGTTAACAATGCATTCTAACATTTCCTAATAAATTATGCAAACGAGGTCCTGATTTGAATAAATTATGTTTAATGATGTTCACCTCAATTTAACTTTCAAATACCACAAGTATGAAATTCCAGGCAGTTATCATTACATAATTTTAAAGTTTCTCATTAATTATGCAAATTAAGTCATTATTTAACATAATCAATATCTTCCTGTGTTTCTCTCGTTGTCAATTACCAATGTCACAAGCTTTAATTGTCCTATCATGGAATACAGCTGATTTATAGAATTTCCCCATTAATTATGCAAATTACATCCATATTTGCATAATTGTCACATAATTATATTAAGCATCACGTAAGCTACCTACATACCGAAAATTACGACGATCCGTCAACTGGTTCTTGAGTTATCCCCTTTTGAATATTTTCAAGAATATATCCCTGCAGTTCCAGAGCAAGCCGCTAGGGGGCCCAAACTCACGTCACTTCTTCCCCATCACAAGAGCTATCTACCATCCAAATTTCATCACCATAGCATGTCTAGATCATGAGATATCAAAACCGGAAGTTCAGCTGCAGTACCATAACAAGCCGCTAGGGGGTCCAAAATCTAATCATTTTGAGGTCTCATCAAGACCTACCCACCTACCAAGTATCAAGACAATCCATCAAGGCCTTCTCAAGTTATCGTGTTTACAGACACACACACACATACACGAACGCCCCTGAAAACATAACCTTCTTGGCGAAGGTAATAAAATGAAAGTGGCTGGCGTACCAATACCTATAGCATAACATTAAAGAGATTGGTCAAATCATTACATGACTTTGTATAACTGCAACAGTAACTTTTATCTAAGATCATTATCTACAATGTAAATTAGCAGTTTTGTCTTAAAAATCAAGTAACATATAATTGATCATAATGTTATATAATTATACAGGTAAGCTAGTAGTAGTACAATGTACTTGCCAAACCTATTTTGTCTGGCAAGTCTCTTTTTTATGGGTGACATCTGCGTGCGCATGAATTTACATTCTGTTTCCCAAAAAAAAGTTTTCAACCATACTGTAAATCGTACAAAACAGTTGAAAAAACATTTGAAAATGATACCAATGTCATAGAATGCCAAAATCAAATGAAAATGTAAAGACATTAATTTGAAGACTAGATTATACGCCATACCATACTCTGTGTCATTTGTTCAACCTTCAAAACCACGTAGATTTCATAATGAAAGCAACTTTTTTTTTTACCAAACTTTTTTTTTATTCGCACGCTCGCACAGTTTTTCCGGTTTCCAGAGGATGTCATCCATATAATCAAATCATCATGGCCTAAATGATGGCAGACTCAAAAGTTGTATACAAATTATATTCTTGTCACCTCATATACATTTAAGTAAAAAGAAATATTTGACTAGATACTCAAACTTATGAATGACAAATAGAATTAGAGACATAACTGGATCCACCTCTCAGAGTGGATAAATATATCATTATCATATGAAATCTCCTTGCTAACCTTTTGTATTGGCATGTTTTGTCACTGGTTTGCTGCTTGCTTTGGGTGCAGCACTCCTGTAGAGTAGTACGATCAGGGCGTTGATGGGAACCACGATGATCACACTCTGTATCGCGATCATGATCTGAGAGAAACAGAATTAATGATGACTTTCGTCACTTTAATTCCACATAGCATGTTATTTGTTGTCCCAAATTCATCATTATTGAAAAATTCTCCAGTATGATGTAGTCAGATTGCTCCCAAATGACAATGGAGCATTCAGTGTCTTCAGACTAGTTTTTTTTTTTTAATAACATATGAACGCCAAAGAACAATACAATGAGATTAGTTTTTCTCAAAGCCTATCGATATATCTAAAACACAATCTAAAGATTCGGTTAAAGCATCATGCTGGCCTTCCCAATTTACCTTTAAGCATTGCTAACTCTTCTAAATTTACTGTGATTAGCATTGCCTAAATTCCCCAATGCAGACCCTCTACTATGTAGATCTAAAAGTGTGCAAAAAACAATTTGGGGTTGGTGGAAAAAGCGGTCCAGTCTGGACAGGTTATGGGTGGACTGGACCGGACCGTTTTTACCACCAACCCAACAAACCTGGGGTAGGGAGATTGGAGGGTCTATTTCCACTCCCATGATGCGGACGGGCTGCGGGGGGTCGAAGTTGTCCCCCTGCCCAAAGAACATGATGTTGGCCAGCATGGTGCTGTACACCGTGGACATGCAGCACGCCAGCCGCTGGGCACGGGTGAAGCCGCTACGGGCGGGACGACCAACCACAGAGAACCACAGGTGTCCGTCGTGGAAGTCCCTGTCAATTTGTGAACAGCAAAGTCTGATTGTTTTGTGTGAATTAAATCATTGAGTACTAAACCATCCCATAGAGTACACACTTCAGTTTGGTACAGTCTATATATGCCCGGATTGTTATACGCGACACCTAGCTTCAGTGCTCAGTGGACCAGTCATAATTGCTCTCATAAAACTGACAAATGGTCATACTATTATCACAGTTTACATGTATGTAATATGTAGTAATTTACAATACAGATAACTAGAGCTGTGTACCGGTACGCAGTACCGATACTGTACCGGTAAAATTGATTAGGTACAGGTCCAAAATACCTAATCCCTCAGTACCGGTACTGTACCTAAACAATTTCACACCAATTTTATGCCTATTTGTGACCTCAAATGTGTAAATAGCTGGTTAACAATGGGTCCCTGTGTAAGGACAGTGTGTTCATGAAAACAAAAACATATAATATAGCCTATATTTCATCTGAGCATTCGCCATAAACAAAGAATAAACCTTAACTATCAAGTTTATTTATGTTTTTTTTGTTATTGAAGGAGTTCAGAAGAGCATAATTATTAAATTGGTCGAATTGTTCAGGTACAGGTTCAGGTCCGGACCTGTACCTAAACCTGTGTACCTGTACCTGTACCTGTACCTAAAATTTGTTTAGGTACACAGCTCTACAGATAACCATATTTTGTGATCTCACTTTGCAGCCCTTTCACTGATCAGGTTGGAAGCGGCTGCCATCTCCTCTGGGGAGGCGACAAAGACCATGCGGTCGATTCTGCCATCATCTTCATCTAGAGCTAGCCACCTGTAGAGATGGTACAAATAGGAGAATCTTTTAAATTACTGTACATTTTTATATTTTTGTTTTTAAGTGTTATCATCATGACACCACGAATATTGTGGTTTCATGCTACAGTATTGTTTTGACCGTGAACTTTTGACATTGGGAAAGCCTTGTTTCCTGCATGACTCATGCTGCAAAATTATTCATGCCTGCAAAAATATTATTTAAATCAACAGTACTCGGGAAGGTCGCCAGAAAAGGCTGCCATAGACTTAATGACAAAATTTCGACTCGCGTCTGATGTTTTTGTGCTGTGAAATCTCAAATCTTATACAACTGATTTTTAGCAGATGACTCTGTGTCAGACATGGTCATGAAATTTCCCCTCAAATTTGAAACACAGTATTTCTTGTAGACTATTAGTACTTTGACATGCAGTTTTATGTAAATTCTCAGACATACTTGTTGCAGATGAAGTAGTCAAGCTGTTCTGAGCTCAGATGTTGAATCACCACCTTACTCAGGTACCTTCAACGATAAGAAAGAACAATGTTCTTCTTAACTAACTCTTCTCCTGTCTGAGAGAATACAGTCCAAACTTCCAGTTAGTAACTTTATAATAATTGTCAACACCATAATCATCAATAGAGATCAATAAGAATTCTTAGAAACATTAATACTGTTGCATTTATAGTTGCAACAGTTTAAGCTGCTTTACTCAGAAGTGATCCTAACAGTAACATCAAGGCTGCTTTACTGATTCAGTAACATTTCATAATTCATTATGACACTCTCAGTAACTGTTCAGATGCTGACAGTCACACTTAGGCTATATATTAAACATCATCATCATCATCCACTGTGTTCTGCGTCTACAGTCGTGTGGAAATGTCCTGTAGCCGCATTCTGTCTTTCTTCATCTCTTTCCACCGTGCCTTCTGCCTCGCGAGCACTCTATTAAAGCTCCTTGAGCTTCTTTTCTGTTGTGGGAGGGCCTTAAGCCCTCTGTGCTTCAGGTCTCCCTTCAGTAGGCTGAGTAGATTGATACTGTAACAATGTCTCCCCCTGCGAGCTTTATATCTCTTTATATTAATAGAGCTTAGGAATGAAAATTCCAGAGAGCTTTTTGTGCAGAATTAGTGACAATTCAAAAATGTGATCAGCTCACCAAGCTGGGCTGGGGCCGGTGTTGTCGTGCCACACATGGATGTGTGTGAGAGGTCCCAAGGGCTCCTCAGAAGACACCAGGAAGGAGTCCACACTGCCGCCCTGGAACAGCTGACGGCGGGCGTCCTGTAGGGCCAGAGGCTGGCTCTCGTCACGGAAGCCGAACACCGTGATGGAAACCTAGGACAAACATTCATCTGAGTACCGTAATTCACATAGACTGAAAATTAAAGTCAAAAACCAAAAGCCAACTCATACAGTCAAACCTGTACTAGCGGTCACCTTTAATAGTGGTCACTCGGCCATAGCGGTCAGTTTTTGCCGGTCCCTTGAATTTTTCCCATTGACGTAAGAATTAAGACTCGTGTCTATAGCAGTCACTGTTCAACGCGGTCAGCGGTCACCCCATTACGGTCCCGCCGGCATGTCAACACTGCCGATTGCGGTCGTGGCTGGCCGTAACCTGCTAAGCACCACGGCCGTAACACCACCCCACCTCGGGCTACGCCGCCGTTATAATGAGCCTTGTGATGATTTTCCAATCGCCACATTTATTATTTTTTTTACTAAAACGTGAACTTTTCAAACTTTCCATGCTCGTCACACCTGGGTTTCTGATCCATGACCTGTAAAATCTGGTCTATTCTGTCTCTTGGACATCGTCAATACTATATTTTGCTTATCCATGAATAGTTTCATCAGGTTGGTACATGTAAGTCACTGAGTACGGGGACACCTGTGCTGCAGTGCAATGTGAACCAGTCAGAATTGCCCTGACTTGAATTGGTTGTGAAAAAAGAGTCCCCTTACTCACTATATCTTGCCTAATATTAAACATTATGCTTAGTCTCTTCTTAACAAAAGTTAACAGTACCTGTGCAGTAGTGGCCAAATATTGGACATAGAAAATCATGGCCCATTTCAGAATGTTACACCAAATCTTACAAGCCTACACCGACTCTTACTACACACGATTCACTCGCTCTGGATATTAATACTCTTCTTACACCCATGGGAATTCATTACAACAAAAACGTACACTGCACCCATGGGAATTTGTTGCAATAAACTGAACAGCACCTTTTAAAACTAATACTTTAATCAGGAACTTTCAAGAGCATTGCTTTTATTCCGGTATTTCATCTTACACGCACGCGTGAAGCTTTTATTCCAATATTACATCTTACACACACGCATGAAGCTTTTATTCCTGGACCAATATTACATCTTACACGCACGCATGCGCACACGTGCCATGCGTGTAGGTGCACACGTGACGTGCGTGGAGCTTTTATTTTTCTTGCCATATATATACCTGTGCAGTTGTCCCTGCGTCCAGGCGAAAGCCAGTGTAGACAGTGATTATGTAGCGACAGTCAGGGTCAGGGTTCAACGTGTGACCGGTTGGTGTGGTCACTCCCACCTACATGGTTAGATTAGAAAATATCAAAAAGTTACAAAAGGGCTAAATATATATTTTCTGCATATCCTGAGTGCAGATATGCAGAAAATATATCATATTCTGATATTTATTCAATCAATGACCAATAACTAGATTATCATCATGGATACATAATTAGCACTTTAGACTTTGACAGTCATAATGATAAAAAAAGATTTGTTAAATTAAAAAAGAATTGTGTCACTGGAAGAATTGTTTTACAGTCAACTCTGCTCAAGGAGACTGCTCTGAGGACTGAGAAAATCTGGTCTATGTAGACAGGTGGTCACTATAGACAGGATACTTATTCCTGGTGCCAATGGAAAAAAGGGACAACCGAAAAGAAACCAAGAGACCACCGAAAAGTGGCGAGTCACATTGTCTTGGTGGTCACTTGTACTATATATGGGTTTGACTGTATTATGAGATTCATAGATTTATACTTATTAATAACCTTTGTCAGGTCCAGTCTGTCTGCCTTTCTTGCCATCAGGTATCCGAGCAGGAACAGACCGAACACAGTCAGGACCGCGATGAGTCCTATGGGGTTCTCGTTGAAATTGATGCTTCCACTCGGCGGGAAGTAGATCGGATTGGGCGGGACGAACCCGGCAAACTTGGTCAGGTGGTCACAGCGGCAGTGGAGGTGGGTGGTGTTGGAGAGTGGACCCACCTGTTAAACAATGTAAAGTAAAGATCAGAGTGACATTCAGACTATTGTACATCATCAATTATCTGCACTCTCACACAATGCGTTATTAAGGACTGTCCGTGTCCTCCCTGGCTAATTTGGCATTTTAGCTTTTCATCATTTTCTCACAAAGAAATTTAGAAAGAACCGTAGTTGTACTGAATATTGATACCTGGGTACAAAAGGGTTATGAAGATGATTTTATGGACCATATGGATGACGTCATCACATTTTATTGCCCCAAATGTAATTATCTTTAAAGTTATAATATAGCACTTTGGTACAAGTAACTGCAATAAAAGTATGATTTTCATGTGCATAATGGTCAAAGCTACAAACGTACGTTTGCACAAATTGATATCTACTAATTATCTGTAGTTATTAGAGAATAACTAGATTTTAATAGGCAATTAGGTTATTCTCTAATAACTACAGATAATTAGTAGATACTTAAGTGTACCAAAGTGTACCAAAGTGCTATATTATAACTTTAAAGATAATTACATTTGGGGCAATAAAATGTGATGACGTCATCCATATGGTCCATAAAATCATATTCATAACCCTTTTGTACCCAGGTATCAATATTCAGTACAACTATTATATAGTTCTTTCTAAATTTTTTTGGGAGAAAACGATGGAAAGTTAAAATGCCAAATTAGCCAGGGAGGACAACTTAATGAAAAGAGGAGGAAGCGGAGTGACCTAGCCCTGCTTGGTAAACTTTTAAGTAAATGTTGTTAACATGAGAATCCGGGTGGGAGGATGGGTGATATTGTTCAGATACACTCATGAGAGCCACATTGTTTATAATATCGCCATTTTGTTGTGGAAAATGAGTTTACTGACTATTTTTCATATATTGTTTATTTACCCTAATTATTCTTATTATTATTATTATGCTTTTAATTGAAATGGAGGAGGACTAAAATAAGCCCTGAGGCTTTTTTCCTCCTCCAGAACATCAATTCTGTTTAATAGGTTAATTATTTTATGTTATGTTTATGTTCGATTATTATATTTACTTCTGTTGTTGTTTTATATGTATGTACAAATAAAAATAAACAAAGAAATAAACAAACACCACTTAAGCACGCTATTTGTGAAGTCCACGGTCCTAAATCACTTTAAGTCATGTGTAAATAATTTGAGCTCTCACTAAAATACTCACTATAATGATAGTTTCTTAATCTTACTTTTGTGGAAAAAAAACTTACCTTGCATCCATCATCTTCCCACATGTGGGAGGAGTCTTCTCCGAAGTAGACACATGCACTTTCTAATATAGACACTCGTACTGTGACACTGGTCTCCTCTCCAGCATACTTCACACCTGGAGGAAAAGAAATGATCCATTGTGCTAAGACACCTACGATCTTTTTATAACTTACATCCTTTTCATACCCTTGATTTCCATGATTGTTAGCCTGTTCTACACTACATGTATCTCACATTGTTGGGGGTTTATTGGCCCCCATCCCTCTAGGGTGCCAATCAGTCGGGCAGGCCACTAGGAGCGTGATTTAGTCAGGATAACTTCCCTGTCATCTTGCCAATATTTCTCACAAATCTTTCCCATCTGTGTGCCTGTGTGTGTGTGACTGTGTCTTTTTTTATTTATTTTTTTTTCCGTCATTTTTATACAGGGTAACCCAATTCAGTGATGGCACTGCTTTTCAACGGGGCCCTGTATTACACAGCACAATACAACAATCACATACAAATAATAACATTAGCATACAAAAATTATACAATAAATAATTATAATGGCAATGATAATAACGAAAACAATAAATAAATTATAATGGCAATGATAATAACGAAAACACAGTAATTAACCAATAAGAAGTAATAAATAGTAATAATAACAAAAATACATCATTGTCCAGTCATTGTCATTGTCCAGTCCAATATGTTGGCATGGAGGGGTCAGAGGTCAGGCCAATTCTTACATTTCATTTTAAAAATGGACATGGACGGACAGGTCTTAATAGCAGTTGGCAGCCTGTTCCAGAGGGCAGGGCCTCTGTAGGAGAATTTGCGCTTTCCACATTCAAGGCGAACAAGCGGCAGTTTCAAAGATAGGTTCTGGCTGTGTCTGGTGGGGTATCTGTGGGATTCAAAAGCCATCTGGAAGTTATCTATGTAGTCTGGGAGTTCATTGTTGACTGCCTTGTACATTGATTGTAGCAGGTGCAAGTTTCTCCGAGATGATAAAGTTTTCCAACCTAGGGTAGATAACTCACCATCGCCAACATGATGTGTATAACGTAAACGAAGGATAATTCTCACTGCCCGGTTCTGGTATTTTTGCAATTTGTCAGACAAGCATTTACCACAGTTTCCCCATATCACATCACAGTAGTCTATTTAGGTAGGACTATACAGTTAAACAACATTATAAGAGTGTGTTGGGGCAGACATGGGATGAGGCGTCGTATGACTCCCAGTCTGGAAGAGACCGCATTACACAACTTGTCAATGTGAACTTGCCATGTTAAGCTGGAGTCAAGCCAAACGCCAAGGTACTTATAACTGGAAACAACTTCCAAAATGGTGCCAGAAAGTATAACTGACAATTGTTCTGTAACTGACTGCAGCCTACGTGTGGTCCCAAAGAGCATAGCTTTGCATTTATTAACATTGAGAGTCAGTTCATTTGTTTCCAACCATGTCTCAATATTACGAAGATCCGCATTGAGAGCATTGTTTACATCTGTGACTGTCTTGGACGCATAGAAGAGAGCAGTATCATCTGCATACAATACAACATGTCCATTTGATATATAGTCAGGTAAGTCATTAAGGTACATGATGAACAAAAGTGGCCCGAGAACCGAGCCCTGGGGTACTCCCACAGTAACTTCCAGGAAGTCACTCTGGACTCCATTTATGACAGTAGTCTGGTATCTGTCTTTGAGGTAAGAACAGAACCATGTCAATTCCTTGTCTTGTATCCCAAACATTCTAAGCTTAGCCAGGAGGATCTTATGACTTACCGTATCAAAAGCTTTCTTGAGATCAAGAAAGATTGCTCCGGTAACAAGACCCTTCTCCATATTGTTTATGATGGAGTCAGTGACATGTGTGAGTGTTGTTGTGGTAGAATGTTTGGGTCTAAACCCAGACTGGAACTTGTTAAGTATGTTATGGTCCTTACAGTATGCATATATCTGAGTATGTACAGCCTTCTCAAAAATCTTCATAAATGATGGTATAACGGAGATCGGTCTGTAATTATTACAGCTGCCCTTGTCACCTTCTTTAAATAAGGGGGTGACTTTGGCTCTCTTCCAGTCCCTCGGGACTTCACCTGAAGAGAGAGATAGGTTATAGATGTATGTGAGAGGACCTGCTATAGCCGGGGCAGCATACCGTATGAGTCTACTGCTCACCCCATCCAATCCAGTACTTTTACCTAGAGGTATACTCATCAGTTGCTTAAGAGTGAACTCAGTGGAGATATTTTCGAATTCAAAGGAAAACTGTGCCGGTCCTAAGACTGTTCTGTATACACCCGCAAAAGCTGCAGCCAGTTTAGAGCCAATTGAGGTAAAGTATGTATTGAATTCATTCGCAGTGTTTTTTTCTTCTTCTTTAGAAACATTAACGTGTTGTTTGGCTTGACGTGATGGCAAAAGGGTCTTAAGTGTGGCCCAAAGACCTTTACTGTCACTGCCTTTAGTTTCGATTTCATTGCAGTAATACTGTTTTTTAAATATCGTGCCATGTTGTTACATTTGTTTCGTGCCTTTTTAGCTGTCTCCCACATAGATGGATGTTTGTTTCTTGGCCTTATACAAAGTAAAAATCTCTTTCACGCGCCATGGACAGATACTCTTGCGTTATCCAAGGTGGTTCATGGCCTCTGATACGGACAGATACCCATGGGGCATGTTTATCACAAATTTCAGTGAGCATTGTCTGAAAACTACTAAGTGCATCATCAATATTAGTGCATTCCTCAACTGTGGACCAGGGTGCGCTGTGAAGATCTTGTTGAAAAGCTGTTTCGTCAAACCGCCGGTAGGATCTCACCGTTGCCGTCCTAGGGTTTCCCGAAGGTCGCTTAGCTTTCCTTACAGCGTAAGTGAAACAGTGATCACTCAGTCCAGTAGAACATACACCAGATTCTGACACCTTTTCAGGTAAGGTTGCTATAATGATATCGATACAAGTGGATGAGTTCTCATTTACACGGGTCGGTTCATCTATGAGTTGTTTTGCTTGAAAGGTGCTACAGATCTTATCGATTTTCTTACAGGAACTACTTTAAATACATCACAGTTGAGGTCGCCAAGTAAGAAAACCTCATCAGAAATAGCTGTGGCGGCGGTCATGGCCGTGTCCAAGTTTTCAAAAAATTCTGTAGTTGAATTTGGTGGGCGGTAGACCGAACCAATAACAATAGGCTTGCCGACATTGTGCTTTACTTCCACCCAAACACCTTCGATATCTAACTCGGTAAGTTCTGTTATCAGTTTATGCTGTAAATTGTCGGTCACATAACATGCCACACCGCCGCCTTGCCGGTTTCTGTCCTTGCGATACAGTGTGTAATTTGGTATATACAGTTCATTGTCATCTATACTAGGATCTAACCAGGTTTCGTTCAGAGTTAATATGTCGACAGGGTTATTAATCAATGCTGCTCTAAGTTCATCAAGTTTTGGTAAGAGGCTACGGATGTTTAGATGTATCATTTTAACACCTTTCTTTACTCTCAGGGTCTCAAACAAGGACTGCCAGTTTGTGCTGTCATTATTCTGGTTAGGACCAGGATTACAGGCTATATCGCCGGACAGTAAAAGTAATGTGTGAAGACAAAGGTGTACTAGATTAACACTGGATTTTACACGAGTAGTATTCTTACTTCTAGTTACATTTCCAGTTGGGTACAGTAGTGACAGTGCGTAGTCTCCTTGTGAGGCTGCAGTGAAGTGAGACCTATAACAGTGTTCTTGTTTGAATACTTCGCAAGGATTGGATTGGGTAGTGACATGTTTCAGGTTTATAACGGGGTTCGTAAACTGGAGGAATAAAGCGGTAAGTACTGCCAGCTGGACAGTTAAACAGCCTGCCATGCTTATTTATTTCACAAATGACACTATGGTTACTTCCACTTCCACTATGGTTACTTCCACTACACTACACTCTGCCTATCTGTGTGTCTGTGCATGTGTCTGTGCATTTTTCTTTGAGTCCCAACATACAAAATGCAGCATTGCCATTGATTACATCCTCAGTGCTGCTACATGTATCTTCGCCCTTGGGATTGGAAGAGCCTTAGGCAAAGGAGTAAGGGTAAGGGGGTGAAGTCTGCCATCTCTGATTTCCCTGTTACTCACTGTGCATGTAAATAAGGACGTACCTAGGTAAAAAGTCGTCTTGTTTTGTATGTCAAATTCCGTAACATTCAGAGCTTCCGTAGGCAGAAGCCAGGAGTACGGGTTGGACGTCAGGTTTGTATTGTTGTACATGTGCGGCAGCTGTAGTGTATACAGCTGGTCCTGTGGAACAGGTAATACAGCTGTCCATTTGGCAGCTTCAAAGCTGTCGGCAGTCGGCGCGGATGATCTCTGCCACACCAGTTGCACGCGTGGCAGGTCCAGCTTTGGTTGGCTGGTGCTGGTGATGTTGAGTAGGATGGTGAGTGCAGTCCTTGTTCTTTGGGGCCGGAACTTGACAACCTGCAGACAGGGAATGATGACGTAGTTTCAGTACTCCATGCAAGCAGATCCTATGGTGGCAAGGCTGTAACCATTGGCCCTGGTGGCCAATGGTCACTCTTTTGGCCAATGGTTTAAAAAAAGATAGCCTTGGCACTGTAGTATCTGCTTGGAAATTGGGTACGTGGAAAAAATAGTGACTGTCTCATTGGGTACACCTAGGGCATCAAAATGGTGCAGTCAAGTAGCAAATTGTGCCATATGATATTAGAAACTGAGCTTCAACGATTGTATAAGTTGATACCTATCTCATACTAGCCACCCACTTTTGTATTAGATTAGCCTTATGAAAATGTAGTTGACATGTACTTGTTTAAGTTAGTAGATGCCATACTTTGTACACCGTACAATTGTTGCGCAATAAAGTTATTATGAAGCTCCATATCAGTGTGTGACTGTGTGTGTTATGGTAACTGGCTTATACAGTAAGAGAACTCACAAGGATGTCGTCACTGCTTCTGAGCTGGCCCGTGTACTTGAACACGGTACTTGTCGTGCGCTGTTTCTCCCTGGGGATGATCATGTCCACAGGTTCTGGGAGGCGGTGCACGGGGCGTCTGTCCCGTCCCTGCCACACGGTCAGCCCCGCCACCTCCGACCCAACATCAGGGGAGTTTTCCGAGTACCGGAAAGGGTTGAAGTCAGAGTTGATTAACTGCAGACAGAATTGAGAAGAAAACATATTCCTTAGTTACAAGAGCATGGCAAGTTTCCTGTTTATGCAAATGAGTAGTATGCGTAAATTGCATGCAAAATTTTTCACAAGTAGTGAGGTACACTTCTGTAGATACAATGTATATCATGCATGCCAGCACTTCAAACTGGAAGAAGCAGATAGATTCTACTGGAAAGGTAACATTTGCAAAGAAAATGCATAATTTAATGTTTGCCTACACATGGTCTAGCCTGTAGCCTGAAAAAAACTACTGCTTTGTTCGTTCTCTCAAATACATCTAATTTTGTATATACATGTATGGTGACCAGCCTCTCAACTTGCAACATAATGTAACCCAACACCACAGCTTGTCTGCTATAGCACCAGTAAAGACCATAGTGACAAATGTCTGGTCAAGATCAGTGACCTTATGTGTTTGGAGAAGGAGATTCTTGAACAGAGCAAAAACAATAATTATGGGTTCACCACACCACAAAGTGGTGGTGAACCCATATTGCTTTTTCTGATGTTTCTTCTCCTCCTTCTTCTTCTTCTTCTCCTGCCATTTTTTAAATGGATTCAGCTTCTTCATTTTAGGGCCTAAGGTCCTGAAATTTGGTATGGAGGTACAGTGGGCAAATACCCCTAGGCGTTTTTTAAATTTTTGTGATACAGGCTTTTAGAATGGTTTTATTTGAGTTTTTTGGCTGTGTTATAGCAAATGTATTACTGTGTTAGTGTGCCGTGTTTACCACGTCTGGGCATGAGTCATCACAATGGAAAGCAGGGCATCAACCAATAGGCATGCAGCTTTCCTCTATACTTCTTGCTGATTGGCTGTTGGGATTTAACTTATTTAACACCTGCACAGAGCATTTCCACCTGCACAGAGCATTTCTTGCTGATTGGCTGTTGGGATTTAACTTGATTAACACCTGCACAGAGCATTTCCATACTGACAGTATGTCTTTATTCAAGTGTTTTGGTAGGTATTTAAAGCTTTTCTGCTCCAGCATTGGAATGCGGGGCATGAACATTTTTTTATTTTATTTTGAAAATCAACAGTTTGCATTATGCAATTAAAAATCCTAACCAATAAAGTAGGGAATAGCTATCCAACTGTTGTTTTAGTTGTATGTTACTTCATATTATAGTTATATCAATGTAAATCATTGTTTTCCCTTGTGTTTCTCATTCTTTCTGTGCCATGTCGTAAAATGTGGTGAACCCATCGCTGTATTTGCTCCAAAGCAAATATTGGCCTTTCTAGTTACCGGTATGTTAAACTTTTTCTTCTGTGAAACAAAAAATTAAAAGCCTCAGGGATTTCTATATGTGCTCACCTCCACTCCAAAGCTATCCTCACAACTGTTGTCAAGGGTGTTGAATGCTGGTAGTACAAACAGGGTGTCGTTGACTGTGAACACCTTCTTCTGGCCATCTTGACAAGGTTCCCTCTGGATCTTGGCATGAAGCATTGACATCTCCAGTGAGGCACTCCCAGACCCATCAGCCGGCATCAGGGTGTCGTACATGTTAAGGACGTTGTCAATTGCATTGAAAGCCGAGCTGGCTGTTTTATTGTTCTGTGAACAAAGGGATGCAACACTTACATGTAGATCCAATTTACAGGTGGGTAAAATCCTGATGATACAAAAACTGTGTGTGCAAGTGAGTGTACAAAAACTGCATACGTCAAATATTTCCTATGTGTGAAAGCTGCCTGCTTTGGCGTGAGTCAAGAACATTCAGATTGTACATGATACCTTGAGGGCTGGCGTACAATCAGAATGCATGTTTACAGCAGGACAATTTACACGCAGGAAAAATTTCGTGTTGTACCCTGACGTGCATTTTACACAGTTTTTTTTTACTATCGGGCTTTTGCCCACTTTTAAACTGTTTGGTGTTATGGTGTTGTATTCTGGTTTGTATAATTGTTGATATTGATGTTAAATGTGTAAATGTTATGCCAAGTATACAAAACAGAACATGATACAGCATAGAACAAAACTTTGTCATCAATTTCCATCAAATTTGAAATAGTGATGCTTTCAAATTGAATATTCGCCTAAGAGGTACATGTACATGTTTTAAAACACCATATTATCCATAATGTCTATATCTATCAAAGAACATGACAATCTCTTACAGCTTCAATTGTCTCATTTATATTGGATCCTTCAACATCCCAGGCAGCGGTTGTCACATGCTTCAACAGGATAGCAGACCCTACAGAAAAAAGATGAGAAATTATGCACCAATAGTTGATTTCACAAGACACTCAAAATGGCAATAATAAGCTCCAACTGTGTTCCCCTTGCTGCCATAGGATGAAATATATGTCACTAGGAGGATAGTCAGTGTGAATGTAAGTTTAGGGACAGGACCACTGTGAAGTCACTAGGAGGATAGTCAGTGTGAATGTAAGTTCAGGGACAGGACCAGTGTGAAGTCACTAGGAGGATAGTCAGTGTGAATATAAGTTCAGGGACAGGACCAGTGTGAAGTCACTAGGAGGATAGTCAGTGTGGATGTAAGTTCAGCAACCAGGGACAGGACCAGTGTGAAGTCACTAGGAGGATAGTCAGTGTGAATGTAAGTTCAGCACTAGGACTAGTGTGAAGTCAGTAGGAGGACAGTCAGTGTGAATGTTAGTCAGACACCAAGGGACAGAACCAGTATGAAGTCACTAGGAGGATAGTCAGTGTGAATGTAAGTTCAGGGACAGGACCAGTGTGAAGTCACTAGGAGGATAGTCAGTGTGAATGTAAGTTCAGGGACAGGACCAGTGTGAAGTCACTAGGAGGATAGTCAGTGTGAATGTAAGTCACTAGGAGGATAGTCAGTGTGAATGTAAGTTCAGGGACAGGACCAGTGTGAAGTCACTAGGAGGATAGTCAGTGTGAATGGAAGTTCAGCACCAGGGACAGGACCAGTGTGAAGTCACTAGGAGGATGGTCAGTGTGAATGTAAGTTCAGGGACAGGACTAGTGTGAAGTCACTAGGAGGATAGTCAGTGTGAATGTAAGTTCAGGGACAGGACCAGTGTGAAGTCACTAGGAGGATAGTCAGTGTGAATGTAAGTTCAGGGACAGGACAGGACCAGTGTGAAGTCACTAGGAGGATAGTCAGTGTGAATGGAAGTTCAGCACCAGGGACAGGACCAGTGTGAAGTCACTAGGAGGATAGTCAGTGTGAATGGAAGTTCAGGGACAGGACCAGTGTGAAGTCACTAGGAGGAAAGTCAGTGTGAATATAAGTTCAGGGACAGGACCAGTGTGAAGTCACTAGGAGGATAGTCAGTGTGGATGTAAGTTCAGCACCAGGGACAGGACCAGTGTGAAGTCACTAGGAGGATAGTCAGTGTGAATGTAAGTTCAGCACTAGGTACAGGACCAATGTGAACCATTTGTTTGGTGCTAAGGATAAAACTGGCAAATTGAACCAAGTCACGAGGAGCATAGTAAGTGTGAATGTAAGTTCAGGGACAGGACCAGTGTGAAGTCACTAGGAGGATAGTAAGTGTGAATGTAAGTTCAGGGACAGGACTAGTTTGTTTACGTACCTGTGAAGATGTTGGCAGACGCTATGTTGATGTCGTCTACAGCCATAGTACGCTCTGTGTCATTCTCCACCAACATTTTAATGGTCTCTCCTGACAGTTCTATACCTCTCGCAATCTGCAGCTAAGGCAAGAAGGAAAACATTTACTTGTTCTTAACGTTAACAAGAATGTGTAAATGAGAGCTACAGTCTGATAAGTTCTTAGGATCACATGTAACTTTTCTATTTGTTCATTCATTCACACTTAGAAAATTACATGTCAATCAGGAAATATTATTGGGTTATAGCAGTGCAAGAGAAGCCAAAGGTTATGCTAATGAGAAGGCCTTACTTTGAACACAGAAACAATCTAATATTCCAAGAAAATTAAACTGAATTTGATAAAAAGACAGGGTTGAAGGTCTTTGAAAAATTTGTTTCATTACATCGTCTTCCCTCATCTCAACTTCTTGCTAAAGCTCAAGCCAAGTATGAAAAAAGTTGTCCTACTGTTGCATTTGTGGAGAGTTTCTCCAGGTTGGCAGTGTTCATAACTAGGAGGGAGGTAAAGTCAATGACACCGTTGACATTGTCAAGCTGTAACTCTGACAGCACTCCCAAATCCATAGTCTCCTGTGGAACAGAAAAGATACACTAATCATATACTGTAATGATAATTATTGCAAAGTTGGCAGATTGTAGTGCCCCCGCATGAAACCCAATATACATATAGAATACAACACGGGGTATTCCGTATCGCCCGAGGTATCGGCCCGACGGCGATGCGGAATACACCGTGTTGTATTTTATTTATATCATACCCACCCAAGAAAACGCGCCTTTCAATGCAAGATGAGCCAAAAGTTGGTGCCCCTAAACCCTCAAATGCAACAACATCAGTTCCAACGTCCGGATTCTGTATTCGAATTTTCGAAAGGGGCACACGCGGTTAGGGAAAAACGTGTTCGACTCGTTTTATGGAAGCCATGGAAGCGTTCGATAACGGGTTCCGGACCGGGCCGTACCGTAACGTACGGCCCGGTCTGGAACCCGTTATCGAACGTTATCGCGGCCCGGGTATGATATAAATGTAAGTATATAACGTTACTAATTGTGATTAGCACTTCATCAAAACACTTCATTTATGGATTGTATTTGATCATTACACAATGTTATGTACAGAACAGAAAACAAGCGACTTATACCCCTTCTGTAATATGTTTAACTGTAATTTCTTACACAAAAAAATTTGAATTTTCTTCTGTTCAACTTCAGTGTTTGTCTGTGTTCTATCTGCATGATGTGGAGTCACAGTGGATTGCTTATTTCTTTCTTAACAAAGACTCCAGGAGTTGAACAGTCCAATATTTGGACAATTCCAATTTTGTGTTTAAGTCCTGTTTCAGAAAGACTTTTACATTCTGATGAACTTTCAAATTTAGACTCACCTCTATGTCTTCTGTGACGTTGAGTACTGCAACTCTCCCATCTACTGTCATAACTTCCACCTCCATGATGAAGCCTTGTGGGGGGAAGATGCTTGGGCAGTACCATGGAACCTGAAAGATACATTTAGTTTCAATGCTACAGAATTACTTACTATGTATTATTTGACATTATTATAAGCCATATTTATTCTGAATCAATGTATGTCATGCTACTGCTGATGATGATGTCATGCTGGGGTAAATATAGAATACAACACGGGGTATTCCGTATCGCCCGAGGTATTGAGGTATGTCAGATTGCGGTCGGGCCAGGACCAAGGGCGATGCGGAATACACCGTATTGTATTTTATTTATGTCATACCCACCCAAGAAAATGCGCCTTTCAATGCAAAATGAGTCAGAATGTGGTGTCACTAAACCCTAAAATGCAACAACATCAGTTCCAATGTTCGAAGTCTGTAGTCCAATTTTCGAAAGCAGTGCACGCGGTTAGGACGAAACGCCTTCAAATTGTTCTATGGAAGCCTATGGAAGTTCTATGAAAGTACTGCCCAGTCCGGAACCTGTTTAATAATATAATATCAAACGTTATCGCTGCCCGGGTATGATATAAAGGCAAGTATTCAATGTGATCACACATGTCCTGTAAATAAATTATGTTGCCGCCTTATACATGTAGGTGTGATTATACTCATTTGCATACTTGTGACTCGCTACATGTAGCCTTTACCCCTTACCTGAGTGGAATATGGTGTCAATGGGAGGGGGGTCTGCAGAATAGGTTCATCCTGTGGGAAACGAATCCAGCCCTTCTCTACATCCACAGAGGTACGGCGTAGAAACTTGTAGGTAACATTACTGTAGCCAGGGCCATCAGCAAAGTCTGCAACAGTGATTTTTTTTTGCTGGTTTTGAAAACTAATAATATTTGGCAACACTTGAATTTATAATTATTATTATTACATTAAATTGTTAACATGTTGATTAAAAAAACAATGATTTAATGGTGAGTTCCCTTTTTTGTTGGAACTAAGCTTAAACTTTGCAACTATGGATTCTACCAACACAGATGAGCTTTCATTCGAAAAACATGATCATTGTTTGGTATTGCGGTTTCATTTTGCTGTTTAATGGTGCCGAATTAATAAACGGATCCTGAAATGATTTGTTTATGTTGAAAGATTCTAAAATGCCAGGGAAACACGATACTGCTTGTACGTAATGTTGATGACTTTGTTATTGTTGTTGGTGTAGTCTTTTATTTTAGAATTAATGTTGAATATTACTTAGCCAGAACTTTAAAGACAGTGCTACGTCAAACTCAACTTGTTGATTTATATTTAATACAAAAGTCTCTGTACTTTTTTGTTGTGTCAATAAAGAATCTATTTAATATCCATTATGCTTGTACATACTTTGGGTAATTCATTACTATACATTATTGTTAGGATATATTGAAGCAGGAGGGCCTTTCAATAGTCGCTATACCTTTATTGTGTCAATAAAAATGTTCAAATTGCACTGGGAACAACTGACCTCCACAGCAGACACATCCGCCTGCCCCTGCACGTTCTATCACACAGGGAGTGGACAGGTTCTTGTTCCGCGGGGCTGGGGGCTCCAGGCCCCAAACTGTAAACGTCCACTCGGACACGGCCAGGCCGTCACTGCAGACCCCGTTGTCGTTGACCACGCGGAGAGTGTACGTTCCTTCCACCTGCAAGTCAGAATTATTGATTTATTGAGATTGCAAACAAATACAACCGAATACTCGTGGGCCACAGGCAGCGGGGGCTGTTGTGGTCCACACACAAAACAATCATAAGCACACAAACAAGACACACATCTAAACCTAAGCAATATAAGTACAAACAAGACTGGCAATGAAAACATACATTGCCATGGCGACGGTGGTTGCTGTTAGGGTTATTGTTTGCATGGCACTGCCATCATTTCATGATTTTGAGGAAGACTTGGTACTTGGACTTTGGTTAAGTCTCTGTGGTTAAGTCTAGACAGATACAGTACACTCCTCCCCTGAGCGCATAGTGAACGAGCCCCGGGGTCACAGAAAGTAGGACCATCTGGGGCAGACAGGTCTTCAGGGTTCCAGGTATGTGGGCATAGATGTGGGTCAGAGAAATGCCTGTGGACATTCCGCATGCCTGTGGACATTCCGCATGCCTGTGGACAAAAATGCCTATACAATTCCTAGAATTCGTATTATATCTATTTAGAAATAGTAGCAATGTCGCCTGTAGAGCAGAATTAGGTAGATGCTTGGTCCAAATGGGCACAACCTCACACTCCCTTCAAATGGATGCTCTCCTCTTACAGCAAAGCCTTCCAACAAATACCCGTAGACTAACTTTATTGCAACGTTTTAAGACATACCGGTATTAGATCACAATGGATACTCCTCTTTGTGGCATTCCGAATCAACATTGTGACCCTGAACATGTTGGGGGAAATGCTGAGAAGGACTCTGACTTACAGATATACACTAGCCTGGTATCCAGTCTGATCGTGATTGGGGTTATTGGGGGTGTTTAGGCAGGTTGTGTCTTCGGGGCCTCTAAGAGCTTCCCCCGCCCAGTGCAACAGACCGCCCCGGTAGGAGTGTTACGCTAATCAGATAGTATGCTCGGGGATTTGGTTTCCCCCCAACACGATGTTCGTGGAGGGCTAATTAATCTCTCGTGAAATACACACCGGGAAGCTTATGTGAGGCGGGCGGGCCAGAGTTCTTGCGGCCCCGACCACGAATCAGACTGGATACCAGGCTAGATATACACATGTCTTCTTCAGTTTACAAGAGAGAAGTCAAACCCTTCAGACATAGTTTTAGACATAGCTATAATTTTAGACAAATACCTTTCATTTGTAGATTTTAGTTATTTTATATACTGCTCTTCTTTTATGTTTGTAACTGGCAATTAGTCTCCGGGGCCGGGGCATGAACAGGAATGTGAATCAGCATGTGTCTGCTCAGTTGCGAATCTGTTCAATTTCCACAATGTCGCAAGGGTTTCCTGGAATTTCACTTCGTAGGAAAGTGGTCCAGAATGTAGGACATACACTTGAAAGGCATGTGGGAAAGGAATGTGGGTATGATTGTAGGTATGTGAGGAAAGCAGACTGATTGTGGGGCTGGAAAGAGAGATCACTTTGGCTTGGTTTGAGGCAGTTATCACAGGGAGGTACAGATTCGCGGCCTGAGTTCAGAGTTTACAAGCCTCAGGTAACCAGTCTCAGCGGGTCAGTTTAGAGGTGTTTTCCGACCCCATCAGGGAAACACGGCGGTCTGTTTCACCACTACAAGGGCTAGTTTTCATTTCTGTGTGGTTGTCCAAATGGGGACCTTCCACGTGCTTCTTACGGCCTGGCAATCCTTAGAAGGTAATACAACATCCAATGTATTTATGAATAAAAAGAGCCCTATAGGACACCTGTGTCGATCGTAAAAAGTAAAAATCTTCCTCTGTTGTTGGAACTGTGATAGATTTGTGTGATTTTAATTTTAGGTGAAACGTAAGTCTGTTATAAAGGACTATTAAATGTACAGGAAATAATCTGCCATTGAGAATGATTACCCGGGGAATAATTGTCCTATAACAAAATTGATCTAGTCGAAGGATTTGGTTATGCTTACCTAACGTTAACAACCTATCAAGTTGAACGTCAATATCTGATGTCCACAAGAAATATTATATTAAACTACATATGAGACCTCACCTATCGAAAATGTACACAACCAATTCTGTAAAAATGTTCTTGGTGTATTTAGAAATAGTAAGCAATGTCGCCTGTAGAGCAGAATTAGGTAGACTTCCTTTAGATACAGATATTTGTATATAGATATACTAGTAGTTAAATTCTGGTTATGCTTGGTCCAAATGGACACAACCTCACACTCCCTTCAAACGGATGCTCTCTCTTACAGCAAAGCCTACAAATACCCGTAGACAAACTTTATTGCAACGTGTTAAAGACATACCGGTATTAGATCATAATGGATACTCCTCTTTGTGGCATTCTGATAACTCACATTGTGACCCTGAACATGTTGGGGAAATGCTGAAAAGGAGACTTACAGATATAACGTTACACATGTCTTCTACAGTTATAAAAGAGAAGTCAAACCCTTCAGACATAGTTTTAGACTTAGACGTAGCTATAATTTTAGACAACTACCTTTCATTATGTGGATTTTAATTATTTTATATACTGTTCTTCAATATAATGGTCTTTTATGTTTGTAACTGGCAATTAGCCTCCATGCATGAATTTGCAATAAACTTCTCAATTATTATAGAGAGAAAGATATAGTACCTGTTCAAATGCAGCAGAGTTGAAGACTGTCGATGATACGTAGGGGAAGATGTTCTACACTAATTCAGAAAACTCACTTACTGCTTACTTCATTAACATCATGGGAGCTATAGCTATATGAGCTAGATAATGTTGCATGGGAGTGGACAGGGATGTAAATCAGCATGTGTCTGCTCAGTTGTGAATCTGTACAATTTCCACAATGTCCCAAGGGTTTCCTGGAATTTCACTACGTAGGAATGTGGGCATAGATGTGTGTCAGCAAAATCCCAGACATGCCTGTAGACATTCCATTCCTGTGGAAAAAAAATGCCTGTGCAATTCCTAGAATTCTTGCAAACTGCACACAATACTGTACCATTAGGCTCCCCCCTGAGGCGTCGCCAAAAATAAGTATAAGAGTATTAAAATCAGCATAGATTAGAATATATCACTCACTGTCCTTTACTACTTGATACAGTTCATGCGGTTCCTAGCCGCCAGAATGTTCTCGTGTCTGGGGCCACGTCTCCGGGTCAACTGGTGCTTATAATGACCAAATCAATACTACTAGCAGACAAAGTGGGGGTCTTCACGCTTCGTTAAAAATTGAAAAATCTCAAGATTCATTCTAAAGATCTCAATATTTTAGACGAAATCTTGAGATCTTATAAGACAATCTTGAGATTGTTCATGACAATCCCCAGATCTTTCAGAAAATCTTGAGATGAAACAAAGGTCTCAAGATCTTTCCAAATGTTCTCAAAGTATCTTGGGATTTTTCCAAAGCATCTCGAGATGCTTTAAAAAATATCAAGATTGTTTAAAAGATCTCACGTTTTTTCAAGATTGCTTTAAAAATCTTGATATTTCTTAAAGCATCTCGAGATGCTATGGAAAAATCTCAAGATACTTTGAAAACATTTGGAAAGATCTTGAGACCTTATCTTTTCATCTTAAGATTTTCTGAAAGATCTGGAGATTTTCATAAAAAATCTCAATATTGTCTCATAAGATCTCAAGATTTCGTCTAAAATATTGAGATTTTTCAATTTTTAACGAAGCGTGAAGACCCCCACTGGGGGTCATTATGATCCGCTATGTAACAGAGAAGTTTTTGACAAAATATTGGATATGTACCTCTAAGCTGTAAATGGTCAGAGGCATTAGTCCAAAGTGCTCTGCTCATTCCAATAATAATCTGCTCGCTGGTAGTAATATCATCTTTTCAAACTAAAGAAACTGGACAGCAAGTTGAATTATAATCAACCAAAGCAGTAATTATAGTAGAGGGGATTCATTCCTCAAGCTAACCAACATCTCGCACATGCAGTCGTCCCTCAGTAAGACATCTGGAGCCGCATAGTTCCCGTTTAGAACTTTTATTCACCCTGTCACACTGAATCGATCAAAGCAGATACTGACAACTCAAAACTCACGTTGAACGTGTTGCTTGCAATGACAAGTTGTGGTTCACTACTGCTCATCAGGAAGCCTCCAAAGCCCCAGGGATGCTCCACCACTGTCCACTCATACAAGGGGGTGTCATCAGTACCCGGAACAGCCTCCAGCACGAGTTCCTCTGATGACTTTGTGTTTGACCAATCACAGTTGTTGCAGCTGTTGTTGCAGCTGTAGTTAGACAGAAAGATGGTATTGAAGGACACTAGTCAGTTAAAGTGATAATTACATGTAGGCCAAGGAAAAAAATGATTTTGACTGTGACAGCCCTGAAAGAAAATATGGTAAGTATCAAGACTCTTCTTGTCTGAAATGCTCCAACGAATGTTCAACAAATTGAATTTAAGTAAAATGCAACAGAACAAGGGCTCACTCCAGGACATTTCCATCTGCATGCGGGTAAGGGACACAAAATTCAAAAAGATTAATATCTCACAAAATTTACTCAACAATGAAAGTTTGCTACAGAAAATGAATAAAATCGTGATTAGTAATTCATATGTTGGACCAAAAATTTTATAATATATTCTTTTATAATGTTTGATTCCCCAAAGTGTTGGAGCAGGTTGTTTTTGCTTAAGCAGTCAGTTGGGAAACTGGAACCAATTTTCAATCTTTTTTAAGGCCTATTCATACATGAAGTAAAGTAAATTAAACTAGAGTTCCCCGATCTCATACCTTCGCCGAATGATGTTAATCTTTATGACTGACAAATTATACATTAGATTATTCCCCCCTGATTTAAGAAATAGGAACCTAATTTTCATGAATTATATCATTTTATCATAATCTCAACCAAAAAACAGTCTTATACTAACAAACAATGCATTCTAGCATTTCCTCATAAATTATGCAAATGAGGTCCTGATTTGAATAAATTATGTTTAATGATGTTCACCTCAATTTAACTTTCAAATACCACAAGTATGAAATTCCAGGCAGTTATCATTACATAATTATAAAATTTTCTCATTAATTATGCAAATTAGGTCATTATTAACATAATCAATATTTTCCTGTGTTTCTTTCGTTGTCAATTACCAATGTCACAAGCTTTAATTGTCCTATCATGGAATACAGCTGATTTATAGAATTTCCCCATAAATTATGCAAATTACATCCATATTTGCATAATTGTCACATAATTATATTAAGCATCACGTAAGCTACCTACATACCAAAAATCACGACGATCCGTCAACCGGTTCTTGAGTTATCCCCTTTTGAATATTTTCAAGAATATATCGCTGCAGTTCCAGAGCAAGCCGCTAGGGGGCCTAAACTCACGTCACTTCTTCCCCAGCACAAGAGCTACCTACCATCTAAATTTCATCACCATAGCATGTCTAGATCATGAGATATCAAAACCGGAAGTTCAGCTGCAGTACCATAACAAGCCGCTAGGGGGTCCAAAATCTAATCATTTTGAGGTCTCATCAAGACCTACCCACCTACCAAGTATCAAGACAATCCATCAAGGCCTTCTCAAGTTATCGTGTTTACAGACAGACAGACAGACACACACATACACGAACGCCCCTGAAAACATAACCTTCTTGGCGAAGGTAATTATAAGCTCACCGTATGGCCAACACACAAGCCCTGTTGTCCTGGAAAACCAGAACCTGCGATGCTTGGATTGATGGTCTGCCTGGTGAGGAAGCCTGGGCTGTGAAGTTGATGGTAGATCCTGCTGTTTGACTTGCAGTCACTTCATGGTAATAACGATGTTTTCCACAGATGTCTGAGGGTGATAAACATTTAAAGTGTAATACCAGTTAGATATATAAAGTAATTGTAAGAAACAGGAGGAGCCAGTAAAAACCCTTCTGGTCCCGGGCCGGGGTTTGAACCCACAACCTCCCGGCCACCAGCGCTTCATAACCAGACGCTCTAACCGCTCGGCCAAAAAGGTCTAGACCCATCGGCCGGGTCAGTTGGTAGCGCCTATAAACCCCCCACTGTTACTCCCCACTGTTACATAATTTCCAAACTTGGGTGACAGATTCTCGGCATTGACAGAAACAAATTTTGCATCTGTCAATGCTGTGTGTTTTTCTGAAGTGTTGTTTTTAATCATTTTTAAAATGATTAAAAACAACACTTCTAAATGCCTGGTTTAGTCAGTAGGATCTATGATCTATACATTGTATATCTATACATCTATATAATATTTTATCTAATAGTATTCTATATCTCTAGTATATCTATATTTATATCTATAACAGTTTAATCTATCTACATTTTAAGCTACTCACAGCCATTCAACACCAAGAGACCGTATCATGTGAACATAAAATGTGTCCTTCAAATTTGTGGAAGGTATTAGGGCCAACTGCAACACACCTTTTTTCTCACAGATGTAGTAACGAGATCTAGAGCATGTGTCGTCATCCCACTTGTAGCTGAAGTCATCAAAAAGACCCACACAAATATCAGGGAACTGGAAGTCTGGCTGGTAGGGACCCCAGTTTTTGTAGTCATCGTCAGTCAGAATGCTGCCGTCGCTCCAGACAAACTGGAATTAAAAATGAAACTCACTCAAAATACGAAGTTAAATCAAAGAAACAAGAAATATAATGTTAAGTAGTCAACCTTGCCTCTTACCATGGACTTGTTCAAAAAGGGCAAAAATGCTATTTGATTCTGCCGGACTTGGCTGCACATCCTGTCTTAGTGGTACATTAGAACTCTATAAGGTATTCACTAAGATTTTACATGACAAGTATATAATTATACTGAATTACCGATTGACCATTGAGCCTGTCCAGGCCAATCCAAAGTAAGTCGAATCCGTAGTGGTTAATGATGGTATCCCTGATGAAAGCGTCCAATTCTGCAGTTTTGACCACGACGAGACGTGCCCCCTCTGCCTGACATGTTTCCCTGGCGTCCTGGTACCGTTTGGAGTCAGTGGAGAACTTCAGACACGTGCCCGGGGCCTCTATGTAATTGGTCTGCAGGCAAGCTTGAAAGTTTGAAATGGAAAATACAATCACGAAAGGTTTACATTAAATTTTGCTCTTTCCCTTCCAAAATGTACTGCTCCATATCATTTATTAACGAATCACCCAAAAGTTTTTTTTTCTCACAATATCACACCACATAGGAATTTTCTTACTTAGACCCCCTTCAAGAATGGACTCTTCCATATAAAAAGTAATACTAGGCACCTGTCCTAATGCCTTTAAGGGCTATTATAACAGGGAGGAGACAGGTTTGTTAATCCACGGTGCCGAAGGGACGGTAATAGAATGTAGAGCCCATCTCTCTTCTTCAACCATCTTTTACTATTACCTCCCAAATAGATTTAAAAAGTCAGGTACCTATTTTACACCTGAGTGGAGTGAGGAAAGTCGAATAAAGTACCCATTCCAAGGACACAACATCTAAATGTAGTCAAGAATACAAGGAATCAAACCCATGACCCCTTGATCTTGTGTCCACTTTTCTCGCAGACAACTATTCAATGCCAACAGACAAAATGCAAGACAGGCAAGAAGTGACTCACCTTTTTTTTCACAGACATAGTTAAAAAGATAATCGCACGACAAGTAGACACCCCAATTGTGTCCGTACCAATGCCCTACACAAGCACTGTTAAGGTTTGGGTGGTCAGGATACCAGTTGGTGTAGTCGCCGTCAGTCAGAATGCTGCCATCACTCCAGACAAACTGGAATTAAAATGAAACTCACTCAAAATACTTGATCTAGGGACTAGTTAGTTAAATGATAAAAAAAATTATATATTTTATAAATCAGATGTACTTCTCATGATCCCGATTCAGACCTATTATGCCATGACAAATGACATATGAAACATCAGCACCTTAAATTACCCTAAGGCTTATGCCTTTAATGATGATACATGAAAAGGGGCTGCATGAGAAATGCTACATGTATTGATGCAGGACTTGAAGAGCTAAAAATTTATGTAATAAATTGTGTCAGCATGGATCAATTATACTTTCTTACAACTCTTTTTTAATCAACAACATTAATGCTTTTACATACAGAGTTCATTAGTTATTCTAAATTACCGATGGACCATTTAATCTGTCCAGGCCAATCCATGTGTAATCCCGGTAGCTGTTCTTGATGGTTTCCAGGATGAAAGCGTCCAATTCGGCAGTTTTGACCACGACGAGACGTGCCCCCTCTGTCTGACATGTTGCCCTGGCATCCACGTACGTTTTGGTGTCAGTAGAGAAATTCAGACACGTGCCCGGTGCCTTTATGTAACCAGTCGGACAAGCTTGAAAGTTTGAAATGGAAAATACACTTTGAAAGGTCAACATTTGCTCTCCCCATTCTAAAATGGACTGTTCCATATTGACCTTTTGCAGAAATCCAAAAGTCCTTTTTACTCCTATATATAATATCACCCCACTCTGGAAAGGAATTTAATTTGACCCCCCTGCAATTATAGGTTGACTTTAAAGACCCTATGAAATACATGTATGACTGTCAGTTGGTTAAAAAACAGTTACAAATTAGTAAAATTCCAAAAATATACACATCTTTACATATTGAAGTAGTTTTTACTCACTGGTTATCTGATCTGGAACCTTCAGCTAAGCACTGTGTCACTTTTAAGTCAACCCTACTCTTCTCAATGAGTCGGGTTCATTTACATGTTAAGAGCTTGAGGCTATTAAACGTATGATTTAAAGCTATTAACCATACATGTACATGGTGCTGCTAGCTTTACATGTATGCTCCCATCCAAAATTATACATGAATGCCCCCATCCAAAATTATACATGTATGCCCCCATCCAATTGGACCAATGTACAATGTTTGACCCTGTAATATTTGGTATCAACTTACAGCTGTCACTTGTCTCACAAGTCCAGGTGATGTGGAGATCTGATGAGGAGACCAGACCCTCCGGATCCCACGATTCCTCAGCACTCACCCAGAAGTCATCGGAGGTGTGCTGAGTGACCAGGGATGGGCCCAAGGTCGTCACCAAGGGCATCGGCACGACCCGAATCCATGTCTGGTGTACAAAGTCTATGTCACTGATCCTCAGCAGATCCGCGATGATGACTCGGAACTGTGCAAATGGTAACTCAATGACATCTCAAACTCTACTACTGGATAAATTACAGACTGAGATTACTTCTAGACATTTTGAGTGACACTTAGATATGAGCAATTGTAGGAAAAACTGTTGATTATAGTTCTGTTAGTTCTTCGTGATACTGAAGAAGAGTGCCATCTGTGAGTTTTTTTAACAAAACAAACATTAACAGCACAATGCATTATGATAGATAACTGTCAACATGAAACAAAGCAACAGGTATTATAGTCATCAGAGCACATCAGGTACTACTCCAAGATTACTAAATGGTACTGATGGCAACTTAAGAAAAATAACCCAGTACACAAAGTCTCACAGCACAATTCTTGGGTCTAACAGAGTTATAATAAACATTACAGCAGACATGTTTCAATCTTTCTTCAAGTTATAAGATTAATGAGAAACAACTGTAGCAGCAAAAGGCTGTGAAATTATTTAAGGGAACAAATTAAACATTATTAAAATCGTTCAAAGCCAAACTGACCACTGAGCCAAGTTAGTCCTTTGCATTAGTACAAGATCAATCCGTACATCCAAATACATGCCCGTAGCCAGGATTTTGAATGGGGGTGATCTTTCCACTGCTTGAGGGGACCTCGAGCGCCATAGGCGCGAGGTTCCTAGGGGGGTCCAGGAGCATGTTCCCCCGGGAAATTTTGAAAAATGAACTTTCTAAAATAGCATTTCGTGCGTTTTTGAGAGGATTTCAAAGAAAACATCAGAGATAAATTTTTATTCAATGACAAAGGGAGCAGTTTTTCTACGATTCCAGTCCATCTTTTCAAGAAAAATCTTGGACCTTTACATAAAAAGTGGACCAAAAGGTGGACCTTTACATAAAAAGTGGATCAAAAAGTGGTCACCTTTGAGCCTTGTGGGGGGTTCGG